AGTAACCCTGAATCATCGAAATCCGAGAATTTTCATATCTAACCTCAAAAAATGCAAAAAATCGTAATTATGCTTAGATCATACATTTGAGGATGTCATTAGCAAGAGTGGGACGAGACCGATCCCAAACACTGGCTGTTGACTTTATTTTGTTAGATAGATCACGAGATATTTCGAAAAAACGGCAGAACATAAAAATATGCATAACTGCTATGCTGATGATGCTACGGGATTGATCGAGGGCTCATATGAAAGATCTGGACCTGAGTGTTGAATTGGGTTCCCCCTATAGGATAACCCCGTCAAAAGTGCCGTATCTCGCTTAGTTTTCGAGTTATGAGCGTTTAAACGTTTTTTTATGTTTTCTTGGAGCATAGCTTTTTTTCTGCAAATAACTGGTGGGAAGAGAAGTGATTATAGCTATTGTTAGATTCCGGATTGACGTGCCATTTTACTGTCATTTTTATGAATGCTGACTGCATTTCTTCGCTCCTATGTGGACTGAACTTTTAACTGGTCTCTCTTCTCTGGCTGTGTGAAAAAGAAGTTAACAAATAGGTAAGGTAGATTCCTTCGGTTCGCTGGTAAAAACACCTGAAAAGCCATCATAGGTAGCGTTTGAAATTCTACATCGATTTGGCGGGAAATACGGATTTTGAAAAAATAATACGATCGTATTAACTAGTATTAGCGATCGATTACTAATATAAATTTATGCTAACATACCATAAACATATATAGATTTATAAGCTTCTTTATTATATTATGAGGTTATATTTTTTTATGCATGTAGTTATAGGTTCGAAGAAAGTTATCGTAGTTATTCTTAAACATTTACCAAATAAGAATAAAATATTCTAAAGAATTACACTTTATTAATTTTTGTTTATTTTTATCAAAGTATTTGTACTGTCAATTAATTGTTCAAACGTACAGCGTGTTTTTTTATGAAAATGTATTTATTTGATAATTGTTTTATCAAAACATTCAAAGCCTTTTTTCACTAATAACGTGAAAATGAAATGCACATTATATGTAAAAAAGAAAAATCAATTTTTGTTTAATTCTAATTGTTTACATTTAAATGGAATTAAATCAAGTATTAAGTGTAAATGTTGATTATTTAGGCAGCTGATATTTATCATGATTGTTTCCAAAAATTTGGATTTTGTTGTAATCTTCTTTCAAATGTTTCATACCAGCCTTGAACTGATGACAGAGGCACAAAATTTTCTGTAGGATTTGGTACCATTTGTGCCTGAGTTACTGAAAAACTTGAAATATAGTTCAAAAAATTCATAATCATTTTTTGACCAAATTTCAAAAATTCGTTTGCTTTTTCAGTAACTAAATTTGCAGCTTGAGGTTCAATCACAGATAATGGCTCAACTGATATTCCAATTTGAGCTACATGAGATATTTTTCCTATACCAAATATTCCTAAATTACTGTTTTCAAATTCATGGTTTTTTTTCAAATTTGATATTTTAAAAATAGCTGAGGGCTTGACATTCGAAATGTAACCAAGGAACTGCCAGTTTGGAGGAGCATTTGGATCTGGCCAGCTAAAATAAACTGCAATCAAAATATTTACATCAACTAATCAGTATCATTGATGATAATTAATACTTAACATGGATAATAAATGCTTTTTTATAAATTATTTAAATACCTGCACCACCCATTCCATCTGGAAACGGTATTGTACCCGTTAAAAAGATGACAATGTGGTTGACATTGTCAGCATCCGCAACGTTAATTAAAAATTGGTTTTCACTGATTTGTTGAAAGTCAGTTTGAACCTGAATAGAAAATAATTATTTATTTAATATAGTTATTTTTTAGATTTAATTAAAACTTGTGTATTTATCTTAATTTAATCTTTTTAGTATTTGAGGTTAAGTGATAATGCCAAACATGAATTTCAATCAATGAGTTTCTAATAAATAATTATTTTAATACTTACAAGACGACCCGATACAATTATTCCTAACATGATAAAAAAACTTCACAGCATAATAGGTAATACAAAATAATATAAATGAAAATAATTCCAATAAAATCACGTTTTTATATGCTCTGAAACTTGAATATCTTGTTTACATATGAAATTCGATAATATTGATTGATCTTGTTGAATTAAATGTTAATTCCATGTACAGAACAAAGTGTCATAATTTGTTATGAACTGTTTACTAGCGGTGTAAACAATTAGAATAAAAAATTAATGAGACTGTATTTATGAATGAACCATAGGTTAGTTTTATATATAACTATGTATACATTGATGTCCTCAAGTTAGGTTTCGTAGAAAAAATATGCAAAAAAACGCATGTTACAACGAAAAGCCGGTAGCAAATTTCGTAAAAGAGGAGCAACAAAAGGTTAATTAGCATCCGCTGATAAAGAAAAATTAATTAGAGCAGATTTTCAGAAGATGGTAAAGTCTATTTCAAAATAATGACCAACTGAGCTAATGATTCAAGCGCTAGTGTCGATTAGCATTGCCTATAAATTTGATTCTCAACCGTCTTTAGATGAATATCAATCAAAGTAGATCCTTATTGAATTATACAATGTTTATTCCCAAATATATAACAAATATTCTATATAATTTGATGTATAAATAATTAAAATCAAGGTTTCCAGATTTTTTATCAAGTAGGAAGTGCAGTTTAATTTTCATTTTTGAGCTTGAGTAACAATCATGACTTTTACTGTTCTGCTGTCTACCATAATAAACCAAGGTTTTGATTAAACATGAATTTTCCTTCAATTATTCTAAGCTGAAATTGAAAAATTCTTAATAAAAATTAATTGAACTTTAACACAATATTCAATAAGCAGAACATCAACAGTGAATACTAACCAATAATTGATCATTCTCAACGACATCTTGACTATTTGAGATTAAATCTACTATCACACATTCAATATTTGATGTTGAGATAAGTTTCATCGTTATAACTTGTTCAACGAAACGCTTATTCCGATATTATCAGCTATTTTCCGACACGCTGACCATTATGATGACCATCAAGAGTCCATATGCAAACAATGAAGTCAAATTATTTTCTCGATAAATTATTTATGTACAATACACAAAAAAGCAGCACATTACGTACTTGTGTATACATAACAAATGATTCAAGTTATGTGACTGCTGCAGTTATGACTTATTCTCTTAAATTGAACCTATGAAAACCACTGAATCAGTAAATATTCAGTGAATCGCATTACCAATCCAATTCCTGATTCATACAGTGATAGGATTGACACTGGCAATCAGTGAATATTCACTGATTTATTTAAGAGAGTATGTTATGTCTCTAGAAAATAAATAAATGTAGCAGATTTGAATCAAAGGAAGTAAGTTAACTCAAGTATGGAACATAAACCAATTTTTGTCCATTATAGATCCATTATACAGACTCTATTTTTTATTTTTACAGATTGTTCCTGATGGTTTGATAGAAATCAATACTGTTGCTAGAGCAGACTTTCGATCAGTTTCAACAACAAAATATTGCTGCATGTATACTTTTATGAGTTGAATATTATGTGAAAAAAACATAAAATAAACATAAAATAATGATTGCAGAAGTGCATATTGCTGCTCAATTCAGTCCACCTGTCTAATATCTACTCATGCATCCGGTTGACGCGTTAGCATTTCCGGTATGTGGGGGATGAACGTTCTGCGGTGTCCTCGCGGCTCTTATCGAATAAGTGAAGGGGCTAGTACCCTAAAACATTCCACGCTCTAATGCACTTCATGTACCCTCGTCATCTTCGATGTTAAACCTTCCGACCCTTTAAATCGATTTGTTATTGCGACACGCAATTGTTTCGATGATGAATGTCAGAAGGATTATTTTATTGAATTTTTTTCAATTATTATCCAACAATTGTCACTTTTCCAATTCTTTGAATTTTTTGTTTTCATAAAAAAAACTCTAGAAGCAGATGAATAACTAAATCGACTTGTTAATGAAAACTATAAAAATAAAACCAATTTAATATTCTCATAATATTCAGGTAAAGTTTGACATTTTTTACTTGCTAAACTCCCAACTTTTATGTCTCTTTACATCAATAATAGTACAATAAAATAATCAATATCTTTATTTTTCAACATTTTTCTTATGTAAAAAATATAAACAAATTTTGTATGTATATTATATTATCGGCCAGATTGACGTGAGAATAATATATTTGAAATAATTTATTTTCTCTAGGATGCGGAGTATCTAACACCTGGTATCGTGCAACCCCGAGAAAAATGTCCTGAATCCATCGACAACATGTTTCATGCTTTCCCCTAAGTGTCTATTAATTTACACTCAGCGTGAGTGTGAAATCGATTTACAGATGCTTTTGGTTTCTTTTCTCTCGAGTGGTGCTCTCAATCTCCCTATAGATTTGGTATTATATACTGTTGAATAATAAATATCGGGAAGAGTTGTAGCCATTTATACATTCTTTTAGATACTTTCTATATAAGCTCCAGGAAATATCTAATTTACTCTTACATAACAATAATGACGAATACATGTGCAAGTATTATTTTAATATTCAAAGTATACAGAACCGATGCTAATAGCTTATTAGTGGTAGAACGCTGATCGACGATTGCTAAACTAGCTGACATTTAGTGTGAGTTCTCGAACTTTAAATACTACATTGATGATACCCAAGTTCTGATAAAATAAGAAAGTACTGCTTTCAAGGTAGACCATCTATTTTTTGTCAAGTGTATAAAGAAAACTAAAATTCCATATCATCTTTTCAACAAACTATTCTATTAAAAGAAAAGATTGTATATTTATTAATAACAATAGAATTAATAGTATAGATCAATTTTATTGTTGCATTCAATATAAAAAGATAAACAAATAATTTCCAATAATTAATTTACTTAGAAGGTAATTTATGAGAATTTTCATAGAGATGGTAAAATTGTACTTTACTAAGTTATTTTAAGCTGTACAGTTTAAGCCTACGTAGGATAATTTTTATTTAATCTTTTTCTCCACGTATGAACAAAGTAAGTTAATAAAATAATAACTGGCTTTGATGATTTTTAGGTAATATTATTCATATAAATAACGTTTTTTCCAACAGTACTTTACAATTAAAATTTAAATCTCAAAACAAATTAAAAAATTTAACCACACAATAGCCAGAGGGGGGCTGATTCATTATTTTCATAGAGGATTACGTACACAGAGGCGTTTATCACATTCGCAAATCGATCAAAGCTTCGTTCGAATATATATGCAGGCATTGCAGTCGAATAAAATCACATATCCCTTTTATGATGTCTACCACAATCATTCGTTCGTAAAATAATATCTTGTCATGATCATCGCATCTTTTTTTTTCGATTAGATCTCTGGCATTACTTTTATTCCCTACCGGTCCGATTAGACATCACGATTTCATTGCGTGAATTAATAGTCTGTATATTGGTATAAAGGATTCTAGACTTTACATCATTTCATTTTACAGTACTCTACAACAGTGAGAAATAACACCCGGTTGCTTGTAATTCATTACTGACAGGATTCGATTCGAGATCCAACTCTAATCGTTGCTAACTTGATGAACCTCTTGGAACCTTATTCCATCAATTTCCCATTTTGAGGCGTTACTTAGACAGATAGATGCAGCCATCTGGTTCAGGTAATTTGTTTTAGTTTAGTCTAATTTATTATGTGGACTTTTTTGGATTCTCATTTAGCTGAACATACCTAGGTTTAATAAAATAATGATAAAATATAATATTTAAAAAATACTGTTGATAATAACATTAACTTGGAATAAATATCAAGCAGAAGATTAGAATGATTTGGAAACTTTATGAATAATTACAATGTGAACTTCACAGCAAAGCTGCTCTAGTTGAACTAAAAAGTTGTTTGCAAATTTCTACCAGGATAGGAGATTTAGGCTGCACATTAGTGCATGTTATATTGCATCTCTAACAAATTTTGTTTTTAATAAAAAATACATTTCGGTTATGAATAATCTAATGATGTATTTTAGAATAAAAAAAAAAACTTTCTAATGGTGAAAATAAAAATAAGTATAATTTAAAAAATAGGAAGAAAATGAGTTTTTAATTGAATTTAATTTTCTTAGGGAAATAATAAATTATATTGGAGTATTAATTCATGCATGGTTTGATAAAATGAAACATAGCATGTGTTTTATTAATTCAACGATTACAGTTAACCTTATGTTTACGTGCTAACATACAAGTAAATCACGTGAAAGTGTGTTGTGTACGAGTGTTATGCATGATTTTGCTGTTACTATATATTTTATATTTATATTATTATATAATATTATAAGAATATGAGTAGTACGTTTGGAGACAACGGTCAGTAACGTACATGCTACTAGCTGTTAACTAATAATTACAGGTTTCAATTCACCGGCCAAATGTCGTTGATGTGGTTAACCCGTTGCACAGCTTTTACACACGTGTCACACACGTGTAGATAATTTTCATTGCAAAACAAATATTGTTTACTAGTATTTTATTGATAGTTTATTAAAAATGAAGCAATTTTTCAATTAATTTTTATATTTTTAATAATTTACTACTGAATTAGTTTGAAATCTTTACCAGTATACTGTTCTCTCTAAAAATAAATCAATGAATATTTATTGATTGAAATGATAATAATGACTGAAAATAAGTGAATATACACTGTTTTGCAGTGATTGTCACTGATTTATTTTTAGAAAGTAAATTTAGTAAAGAAACGATCAGTTGTTCCAAACCAAAAAATACAATAAAAAATTCACAAAAAATTCAATATTTAAATTATTTCAGTAAAAAAAGTAACGAATTAAAGGAAAGAACTTTCTAAAAATGAATCAGTGATTATTTACTATTTTAAGTGATAATAATAACACTAATTCAAACAATAATACTTTCATAACTACAAAACAGTGAGTATGTTTTATAGTGATTTTTATTAATTTATTTTTAAAAAGTACGTAGAGAGAATTTTTGTATTAATCGTAAGTAAAAATTGGCAAGTGCACGTTTTGATATTAGAAATGCAAATATATCTGTTCAACAGTGAATTTTTAGTTATCATAAGTAATTGCGAAGTGATTTTGAGCAATTATTTTACTAAGACACTTCGTAAGTGTCCATTTTATTTACAAAAATTACGAATTTACCGTCATTATCATTTTTACTTCGAAGCACTTGTCATTTTTCGTACTTACACCTACTAGTGAAAAATTTTCTTGATATAAGTGAATAATTGAAGTTTAATACTTTGTGCTATGAGCTCACTGCAAATCTCACATTTGGAAGTGTTTTATTTCAATGCACTTATAGTATTTCAAAATGATGTCACCTATTTGATTAACATTGTAGTCACTTTTAATGCAGTTGAAAGTGTTTAAAAAGTGATTGCAATGTTAATCGAATGGGAAACGTCATTTTAAAACACTTTAAGTAAATTTAAAGCACTACGATTTGCAGTGTTTTCTCAGAGAAAATTTTTTTTTTTAATAAAATCATCTCTACTCGACTTTGAAGTTGAAATTCAAATTACTAGTATATCATCATCCATATAATCTAAGCCTATTTTTGACGTCAATTTTGTTGCTTTAACAGAATTAAGGTTAAAAATGGGCCTTATAAAATTTATTTCGAACCTTAAAAATATATCAATGCCATACAAACAATGTTATAAAAATTTATGATGACATTGATGATCAAAATAAGATTTTTAGATAAGTTTAAGACATCAAAATCTTCAATGAGATTGATGATTCCCAAAATGGAATTAAATTATAAGCGGCAATTGGAACATCAAAGGAATTAAAGATTTGAAAGTTAAAACTGAACTTTAAATTTACTTTTGGATACAGAAGAAAAAACTATTGCATTATAGAAAAGATATTTTTTTTCAATTTTTAGACGATTCATAGGATGCAGAAGAATGATTGCATTGATAAAATGTTACAAGAATCTTGAAATTCATTTTAAAAAAAAATTTTTACAATTAACGTCGAATGGTCTTTTATTTGTAATTTATTCAAATGAATTTTGAAAAGCTTTCTATTAAAAGTTGTCGAAATCTTCTATTTTTCTTAGCTTTCAACCTACGAACTTACGAGAACATCCCTTATCAGATCGATGAAAAGGCGGGAACGCAACCCCAGCAACGACGGTCAGACCGCCTCTACCAACCCCCGATTGGACGAATAAGGTCAGAGCTTCAACTTCGAACCCGGGCATAGCTACCTATATCACCTCGTTCCTTTTTAACTCCTCGCTATCTCTCATTCTTTGTACGGGAATCGTTGATACGTAAATCGCCACGAGACCGGGAATATGTAACCTCGATTGTTTTAATCTACCAATCAGTTCATCACAATAATCACCAAGTGATCATCTGTAAAAATCATAATAATTATCCACTTAGCACCCATTTGCTAACAATTCATTTCAAATAAACAAACTCAGTTAACTTTCAATACAATAATAATTTAAAAAATTGAATTTATTGAATATATTCAAAGCAAAATGGTTGAAATTTGTGATAAAAATTGTGCTAAATTATTTAAAAATAAGTGATGATAGTATTGGTTGATTATATATTTAAGTAAAAATGATTTATGGAGAAGAAAATTGAAGGAGTTGAGAAAAGCAGTGAACATATTTATTTTTAATTGTTATGAACTTGTTGAAATAATATACGTGCCGATACAGGTTTTTAGATAGATTAGTGTGTAAACCTGTTAGCAATTGTCTACAAGTGTACTCAGGAATCTTTGGCACGTGTCGTTACACGCGGCACGTGTCCATGTTTAAGGATATCCTTAACGGCGCGTGTTGGTGATCTTATCGGTATAGCGATCGCGAGTGGATTCTTGACGTGTTTAAGTGGCTAATGTGAAGGATTTCATTGATGCTATTTACTCATTATTTATAGAAATCTTAATAAAATGTTTAAAAAATACCAAAAAAACATTTATGTGAAAATTTGAAAGAAGTACTTGTCAACGTCTAGTCAGACATCTAGTCTTTTTAAAGTAATTTTTAAATAATAAATAATATTATTATTATATTCATAATTATTATTTATATGTTCAATAATTGTTAAAGAACATTGGAAGAAAAATCATTTTAGTTCATTGTGAAAAGTAATAAAGAAATAAATATCATGATGTATTCCATGGATAACTTGGAGTTAGATATGATGAACCGTCATTATATTTACGACACCCATGGGTTCCTGGGTAATCCTGTGATTCCATCACTTCCACCTCACTGTGGCCCACCTTCAGCAGTCGCTCTTCCACCCATAGTTTCACAAATTCCACCATCACATCCACCTGGGAGTACTGGTAGCTCTAATTGCAGTGAACACTATCCTTTTGATGAAAACAGCAGTGATGATGAGAGTATTTATGGCAGTGATCGAGAAATTCGAACACGAGATACTCATTCTAGAAAGTAAGTTCTGTTTCACAATTTCATCATTTTTAATTTCAGTTGATCAGAATAACTTGATATTTCTTTTCATTTATCCAATTTTGCTTAATAAGTAAAATGAAAAAAGATTTCTTCTTAATTATTCTGTTATTTTTTAACAATTAAATTGTTCTATAATTTAGATAAATAATTAAAGCTAGAAATAATCAACTAAATGACTAAAAAAAAAACCAACAAGTAGCAGTAACCTTGCCTTTATGTTGATACTATGCATGAATTTGATTTCTTCTACTCCAAATCAAAGAGATTTACTTTTAATTTAAACAAAGCTTTACAAAAAGTCATATAAACAATCATTTTTAATGTTCTTAACAGACGTAGTCATGATTGCATGAATGGAGGAGGCGAAGATGAAGATGGTCCTTCGTTAAAACGACCAAGACAAGCTATCCAACAACGCCAAGCTGCTAATCTAAGGGAACGAAGACGTATGCAGAATATAAACGATGCATTTGAGGGACTTAGAGCACATTTACCTACTCTCCCATATGAAAAACGTCTATCAAAAGTCGATACACTTAGGCTAGCTATTGGCTACATAACCTTCCTTACTGAACTCGTCCGAGCTGATAAAGGCAACGATTCCCTTGGCAATGGGACGATATCCAGGTGTTCTGGTCGTGAAAATTCCGAGAAAGTTATAGTTCACAGTAAGTATAATGATAGTATGTTTAGTTACATTTTTCTGATTCAAAGTTTACTGTTTATGTGATGGACTGATGTGCTAAGTAGATAATTATGTTTACTGACAATTTAAAACAGTAAATGATGAGATAGATAAATTCTTGTACTCAACCACCTGGTAAATTATATAATTTACTCAATTTAAATATGAACTCTAACCCCCTCTGACTTGATATTAATGTTCTTTTAACCCCCTCATATGACACTGCATTCTATTGTTAATGAACATAAGTGATATGTTGAACTTCATACTTCCTGTTTCATAGCACTCATAAATTACCATCTATCTGTTTCTTATTAGAATTAAATTATTACCTGGATATTTTTTTATTCTCAGTTTAATAAAGAGTGACATTTTTATCAAGTTTATTAGACAAATAACAATTTAAATATTTTTATTAAACAAAACAAAGTGTTTCAATATTTTATAACGACTAATTATTTGATATATTCTATCTAGGCTATGGAGGCAATCCCTACATCTCTCATTCTCTATCTTGGTCAAGAAAATCTGATATCTCTCCTAACGGTACAATGTTTGCCAAAGTATGGACCCCAGAAGATCCTAGAGTGTCGAAAAATACTAGCAATAATTTCAATAAAATAGATGAAATTGATATAGAGAAGGTTTGGACACCTGAAGATTCTAGATTACCTAAACATGGTGGCGCTAATAAGTTTGAAAATGTGGAAATGCCAAAAGCATGGACTCCAGAAGAATCTCGTGCCTTGAAGAACAGTTGTCTTAATACTAATGGCATGGAGGTAGCTAAAACATGGATGGAAGATTCATCATCAAGACAAGGTTCGAAAGAACGCGTATCTGATATTGAAAAACATCGAACACTTGATTGTGTTGTTTTACAAGCATAGGACATATAGAAATAAGGGTGAAACTTATAATTAAAGTGACAAATGTGTTATTTAGTTTTTAAGTGATAATCAGTCGAGTGTCATCAGCATACAAGGTCAAAAAAGTCCTCAACTTTGAAAACTAGTTTAAGTGTAAAGCAGTATTGTTGTTATAATATTAATATCATTCGGTATTATGTTGAAATTAGCCTTTATAATACAAATACCAAAGACTTGGATTGAAAGTTAAGAGTGTTTTATTGATCTCTAGAGTCTTCAGAAGTTTTATAAAAGCTTAAAAAACTTTATTTTCAATTTCAATTTGATTTATAAATTCTTTGATACAGTATAATAAACAACAATGGCAGTTCAAAACCAATAATTATTGAAATAATATTATAAAATGAAAAATTTTTATGTAAAATTACTTCCAGCATATCATTAATCATATCAGAGTGAAAAAGCTAACAATGTGTCAATATGATGTCCAATAACTTCTGAATGTATAGTGCAAATAATTGTTCTGAACTCAATGTTATCAAGGACTCTAGAGACTGAAGTATAAATAAAATAGTCTAGTCGATTATCTAGTCCAGTATCATTATTAAAAGATATTTTTATTGTAATTTATGAAAATAATGTGGTAATTATTTCTCATCTGAGTATAAAAACAAATATAAAAAACCATCACAGTTAAATCCAACATTAATGTTCATTTTAAATATTAAATTAAGAAAAAATTATTGCTCAAATTATTTGTATTCATTTCATTTTTTGGAAATTAAAATGATACAATAGATGAAAAGAATGTAATTATCAACAATGTAATTATTGTAAATGTCAAACTCCATTCATTGTAAATAATTCATTAGTTTTATTTATTTAAAGTTAAAATGCATTTAAAATAAGAATTGATTTATTATAATAAAAAAACCTAGTAATTGTAAACATTACCATGAACTAGTATCATGAAAAAGTGTTAATAATAAAAGTTAACAACTTTTGTACAATTCTGTCATGATAATTTCTTAGATGAGTTATGTAGAATTATCATAAGCCTGAAGTTGCTACGTCATTGGCACTAGTTAAAGATAACAAAAGCCTAAAAGCTCTTGTGAGTGAGTTTGCAGTTGATCGAGATAGAGAGGATAGGAAAGAGCTTGGGAAATTCAAGATGGCCCTGCACCTGCGTGTTCTACAAAAGCACTATCAAACTAGCAGGGTTGTAGAGTTCAGTAAAGGGGCGGGACGTCAATATCGCGGCGTCGCGACGCCAACAACACAGAAAGAGATAGTATATGAGAAATTGTAATGGCGACGACGGCTGCAGCTTTTCCCACACGTATCTTTTATCCGTACAAGCTCTCTTCTCTTACTCACTTGTTACTCCTATAATCCATCGGTTCAAGTTAAATCAACTTACTCTTTTCCTGCGTATTCAACTTGTCATAACTTTAATTTTGTCAGTTTATCAGTGTACGACTGACCCACCGATCTACATCTACCTATATGTCACTATCATTTCTTTATAGAGAACAAAATATCAACAGAAGTCATTTGCTTATTAATCCTTTTATTTAACATTAATTATAATTAATTATTCGATTAAGTCTAAGAAATTGTTTAAGAATATATATTCGAAATTAGAAGGAATTTTTTTTTTTTTAAAATAAGCTTTTTTAAAATTTAAAAAGTCTTCTTGGTTAATGATAATTTTAATTTTTTATTCTTTAGTAATTGAAGACATGAGTAAATAAATGTGTTATGTCGCATTTTTATAAGCTGTGGTTTTTTCGCTTATATAAGTATATTTTTTGGCGAACAATATTTTGTAATTAAAATTTTAATAATTAATATTAATAAGTAATATTTTAATTTAAAATACTTCTTGTACTAAAAGTAGTAACTTTTTAGATACATGGAAGTGTTTAAAAAGTGACTACATTGTTAATCGAATGGGTAACGTCATTTTAAAATACTTTAAGTGTTTTAAATTAAAACACTTCCACATTTGAGATTTGCAGTGGTTACATAACGCCTTGATTCACTCATGTCTTCAATCATTATATTAAAATCATTTTTGTATTGAATTCAAAAACGAATTCTTGAAATTCAATTATTCAATTTTTATTTATGATAAATTAATTTAATTAACTAAATCAAGTTAATATTTTTACCAATAAAAATCTTACTTTATAGATTCATTATTTTCTTTACTTGCATTTAAAAAAAAAACTTTCTTGATGAATAAAATACAATTCCTATTGAATTTTATATGGAAAACAATCAAGTATTTTAATCTTCAATATTTTCTAGACTTTATAAAAATTTATAGTTTCTTATAAAAATATCCACATAATAAATTTGCTCTAATAATTTACTGGACTCAATAACCATTCTATTTTATCTTTAAAATGAAGAGCATCAGTAGTCTTTCAATTCATTCCTCCGAATGTCATATTATTCATTTGTTCATACATTAAAAACTAATTGAATGACAATGTTAGCTCAGCTAGAATTTGCTATTCTATGTAAATAGTAACCGGACACTTTTTTTTAATTAAATAAGACTAAAAAACATGATAACATGATTCATTACTACAAATTAAAACAAATAAAACTCCCTTCTAATAAGTCTCTAAACAATGATCCAGCTTTCAAGTAAGAAGAAAAATGATTCCAATACAAGTCAATCTATCATGCATAGCAATTTTGTAATTTTCATTCGTCTAGCTATTCCTGCTTTGTATCATGACAATATTGTTCCTAATTGCCCACAAATCGACGAATCGCCACCCTCTTCTACTTGGGCAGCATAATGCAAAAGTGCTATGCTGACAAACACAGTAGAGGGCAACGATAGGTTCCACATTGCCCCCTGGGTCTCCATGCTCCACTAACACCACCCGGGCCACGTTTAACTCAACTGTTAAAAGACCCTTAGAATATGGATTCAATTACACCTCATTGTATGTTCGTGTCTATAAACAGGGGTGTTTTTACAGCTGATAGTGGCCCATGGCATACAGGAAAGTAGTGGAAATGGAGAATCAACGCTTGCTCTTATTTCAGTTTGCTTCTAAATGGTTGATTAGTTACTCAGATCTCCAAGTAACTCTTTTCCTATTTCGACTGATGTACTCGAGGAAGAACTTCCAGCAAAAATTGATACCAAATATTAAAAAATAGAAATGAGTATTTTATCAACTCGAGGGAATCAACTATTAGTATTTTTTATTCTAATTGGAGAGATTCTAGATAAAGCTTGATTGACGTCATCTATAAAGTTGAAAATGAAGTGATAATTGTTGACTAAATAGACAACTGATAAGAGTAGGGGCTCTAGAACACCTGTGTTAGTTCTTGATGATAAAATGAAGTGTTGAAAATTTTATTTTATAGAATTATTTTTAAAAAAATACTTTGATACAATGATAATAAGATGAAAATTTGATAAAATAGTTCAAGTATATAACTCTTCTGGATACGGTACGTTAAAGCTCGGCATAGATTTGGAATTAATACTTTATTTGTGTGTCACTCCAGCTGCGAGGATCAACACAAGTGTCGGTGCTTGTTCTATCGCACCCTCTCTTTACTATTCTATAGACATAATTCTAATGCTCTACGGCAGCTAAGGCATCAGAAATTTCAGTAGATCGAGCACCCTCTTAAAGAACGATAGAACCGTACGGATCGCTAATTTTCATGGTATTATAATGCAACATAAGCCACAATGTCCGAGCCGATTATTTTCAAATCCTATGCACTAGATCAAATATTCACACCTTTTATCAAATACATACAGATGTGTTGCGGTTATGATTATTATTATTTAAAATACCTTTTTTTAAAAATGAATTAATTTTATTTATTAATCATATTATTATTAAAAAAAAAAAATTATTAAAATTTTGATTATCAACTATCAGCTCATTAAGTGAAATGATTCAACTTTAGTCAGACAAATATAAAAAATTCAAAAAAACTCCTCACTTATAAATATAATTATCCATTAATAATTAATTAAATAACTATTCACTTCCAAAATTAGTATATCATTCCATAATGACAATTTTTTCAAGAAATGACTCGACACAAATGATTGAATAAAAACCCAAGAGAGCATTCAAGTAGACCCTTCTTTGATACTCCACTGTCATCACAAATCCCCTGGAGCAAAAATCGAATTAAATACCTGGACAGCTGCACCCCAGGGGTCCAGGAAAGAGAGTATCAAAAGAGAAAGAGAGGAGAAAAAAAAATAAAACGTATGGCATAATAATACTTGTATGATTATATGTATACTGTATACATTGTATTGTGTTGAATAGGATGTTAAACCCCAAGGATCTTAAACTCGCTTTAGCGCTTACAGTCTACCGTAAAATCACCCCGCGATCTTTATTATATTGCAATTATCTGTGTTAAACCCTTCGGAGTGATGCAGTCTGCGGGACAAAGGGGGGATTATTTGACAGTGCCAACATGTGGGGGGAGACATATTGGATTGAGGAACCTGTCTACACTCATGTTAATGCGCTAGAATTGAGACGATTTAAAAGAGTTAATTGTATATTAATTTACTAAACTTTTAGAATTAATTTCTCTATTAATCTTAGATATCATTTTTTATGAATGTGGTAAATACTTTTATCATTCCAAAGCATAATAAATTTATCAAAAAATATTTTAAGATAGTTTTTCATCAAGTTTATGCATATTTGACTTGATTTAAGTCTTATTCAAATGCGAAAAAGAAGTACATATTCAGATAAAAGTGTGTCTGTTTATAAGTATTAGTATATATGTATATACAGATATAAATATATAACATAGAAATCGTGAGAACATATCACCTGCGACCTCGGCTCTCTGCAAATCGATATACAGAAAGTTCGCGTTGAAAACTCTACTCATCGCGTGTACAAATCACTTGTGCGTGGATTTTTAGTTCAAATCTCTCTTTTCAGTTCTTTAGTTAACATGTATAATATATTATTAGTTATTTTTAATTAGATCATTCTTTGTTTAATTTTTTTTAATTATCATGTCATACTATTATCTGTGACTTGTGATGTAATTACTGTCATGATAAGTTATACTGGTGAACTTATTTACAAAGAACTATGTTTTTTTTTAATGTTATTGAAAATTTAAATACACAGATGAATGGTAACTGAAGCTATTCTTATCATTGGAGATTTATAAAGTGAAAAGACAGGCTTTCTATGATGAAAAAAATTGAGCTAATAGGATTTTAAATGTGCTCGATCGAATTTTTATGCTAGATTTAACTTTACACTCGCGATCTTTATCAAGAGTTAAAGAAATCAACCCCTCGATTTATATAAGTATTTTTTTTCAACTTATCGTACATTTTAAATTTTCAATGTATTCGTTTTTTATCATTGACTTGTTTTTTTTACAATATAATCATTTATAATTATCTAATTTTGCATAAATAAAATAATGATATGCAACATCATAAGTTGTAGTGTTAGAGATTAATTTAACCAAATTTGATTAATTTTCTTAATAATAATCTCAGATTAATTTGTTTAAAATAATAACATTAAAATATTCATTCTTAAGTAAAAAGTATTCATTTATAATATGATTGAACAACAACAAAAGTTTATTTTCAATCATTATGATAATCTTTAAATGTTTAATGATATTCAGATGTTCATAATACCAAAAAATATTACGTTCTAATGAGCTTAATTTTGGAAATCATTATAATGATTACTAATAATTTATAAGACTCGAAATCACTCCTACTAAAAATATAAATTAGTTGTCTATTAAAATATTAAAAGAAAATCATTTATATAAATTATTTACTATAAGATAATCATACTCATAATAGTTCTAAGTATCTGCATTATCAATTACTTAACGATCTAATTAAATACATAATAAATAAAATACAAAAAAACAATGAAATTATTAACATGAATATTGTTTGGATAGTTTATTATTTAACTTGATTTTATGCACAGTACATTACAAAATTATGTTGCACAATAGGTCACTTCTCGATCTAGTTATAGTCTCAATCAATACAATATAAATAATATATGTTTGACTCATTTATTCAAAATAAATTAAATATTGAACAATAAATAATTGATACTTGAAAAGTTTTTTCTTGTTTTATTAATACCAATTGTTGATAAATTATTTATGTTTTTATTCTTTTTATGAAATTAAAATCGAAATGTGAAACTACTTGCAACATATAAACAGTTTTTTTCAATGTCTATCATGTTCTCCATTTTATTTTACATATTAAATGAACACTAGCGAACTATCTCATCTATATCATGAAATATTACAATTTTCATTTTCTCTATTTTTTAATATCCTGCAAAATTTTATATACGTAAAAATTGAACATTAATTATCAATTTATTTTTATTTATTACAAGATAATATTTTACTAATTTAATCATTACTTTGTTAAAAATAAATTTGCATGCCGGACTTGATAATTTGTCAATTGAATTTATATAGTTTTTAAATCATAATAGATATCAATAATATCTACATAACTACCAAATTATTTTGCAACGCATTATTATTTCTTATTTATTACTTTATAACAAATAGTATAAAAATTTTCATAATGCATTTAATCATCAAAAAAGCATAATAATAAAAGTAAAAAAAAAAATACAAAATTTTAATAATAATAATAACTAATGTAATTGATTAAATGCAAGGAATTAAATTTTTTCAATATTTTTCATGTTTATTTCTTTTTTTTTTTTTTTGGAATATTCTTTATGCTTGCAAAATTGTTACAAACGTATATTAATTTGTTCATTTGACCTCATGTCTGAAATCGAGACCCTACAAGATAGCAAAAATTTGGCACAATTAGCGGTGAAAAAATAGTTGCCTTTTTCATTTATTATTCATTCAGTGATTCACAAATATTACTTTTTTTCCATATTTTCTTTTCTCTTTATTTATTTATTTATCTTTTTTTTTTTTTTTAAACTTATTTTTAATTTTCATTTTTCTAAATAATTTCTGGTCTCTTATGTTTTATCTATCAAGTATCTAGGCTTCGATAGTATCTAAAAGTACAAAATCTTATGAATTATAGTAGAAAAAAGTTTAAAAAGAAATAAAACATTATAGAAATTTGTATTTTTCAATGTTTACTATGTTCAATAATATTCAATACTTATTTTTTGTTTTATTAAATTACATTTTATTAATTAGAGAATGTTATTTCGAAATATTTTCTTATCCTCCTTATTTCTTTAGGGTAATCCGATTCCCTGAGTGGATTCATCATTAATTTACTATTGAGAAATATTTGACATTATTTTGTATCCTGTAAGCTCGACTCGAGGTCTATTTATTAACATTTCTAGGCCCTGATCATGTTTATATATATAAATGTATTTATATAATACGACAAATTACAGTTTTAGAGAAATAGTTGCAAATTTACGTTTAATTGTATTTGCGCCATTAATTTAACCTTAAATAACTACAATTTTACAGCGATCAAGTCTTTTGATTATGTCTCATTGATGTAATTATGATTTATAGACGACTAAGTTAGGTAACTTCTTACAATTTTTATAAGATATAAGATTTTACATTTGAGCTTTCAGTATCAAAGTTTCATTACAAATGTTATAATTAATGAATTGATAAATAAATTATTAATTATTTACTTGCTGATCATAATAATTTTTTGTTTTTTTAATTTCGATATGTTTTCTGTATTACAATAAACCATAATTACATCACTATTAACAGTTATAGTTTAAAATAATTGGCGCTTTTTTTGCTTTTCTTTGGTTGTTTCCGTGTATAATGGAATATTTATTTTTTGGGTATATCAAGTGAGACACTAGAATGTTTATTTGAAAAAATATACATATGTTTAAATTTATGATTATTGATCAAAAGTACATCGCAGTCGCCGGCTTATTTAAATTAAAAAAAAAAAAGGATACATATTTATTTTTGAAATAAAAAAGATATATTAAGAAAAATCATAATTCTCGTAAGAAAGATTTCTCCTTGAAATATTTAGCTTTAAATATTATTTTGTAAAATAATATTTTCAAATTAATAAAATATGTTCAAAATAGAACATTATGAATGATCTAATTGTATCATATTATTGTAATTATTATTACTTATTAGAGCCTTTATTTATTGACTAATATTACAAGAAATGTTACCTTTGAGAATTTATCATTTTTCTGTTGTTGTTTTTTTTTATTTCAAAAATACTGTAAAAATTTCTCGTAATTAATTAATAATTTTAATACAATAAAATAATTAACCTTGCAGGAAGAGTCATCATAGAGAGATCCATGTCAATATAAATATACAGTTCGATAATTCTTCTAAATAAATTTAAATTATTATTAATTAAACGATTATTTATATTACACAAGAAAAAAATGATCAATATATTTTATTTAAATATGGCCCAAGAAAATCATTCACAATCCTCGACGGATCATATTTATCTATTATTAATTGTTAATCAATATAATTAATAAATCAATTCATTAAAAAGATCTTTAATATTCCACAATTAATAATAAATTTAAAACTGTAAAAAATATATCAGTATAAAATAGAGTGTAAATAATGAGGATATGTATAACAAATCGCCTAGGCGGCGTGGAAAGATGCAGAATAAATTGATTTGTGTTATCAAGAACAAGTTTCATAATTTAAATATATAAACCATAATTCATTTATGATTTATAAGTCAATCAGCTTGTTAGATATCAGGTATCTTATTGGAATATGAAATCAAAATAATAGGATGAATCTAATTCAAAATGAAAAAGCTCAACACCATTTGATCACAGTAAGGCTAAAAATAGGATGTAAAGTCATATCAATCTAAGAAAGAAGAAATAAAATAGGGATGTAGAGTACATGCTTAGTTATAAATTGCAAAACTAAAAGAAACTATGCTAAAGAAGATATCAGACATGAACATGTAAGACATCTTGATTTCAAGTTACAGGAATCTTTAAAAAATAATTATAGCAAAGAGACTTGAATATATCAATCAAGTGCACTCAGAGTTACTTAGGTGTCTTCTTCAAGGTATCAATAGGTCTGTTGATATACAAGAAAGAATAAATAATTTTAATCTGACTCTAAAGAATGATGTGAAAATTGTAGAAAATTATTCAGTATTTTGAAGTTAATGATCAATTGAATGAATTGATCAATTAGTTATATTTTTAATATTAATATAAAACATTGTTGTTATTTATTATTTTATCTATATTACATGAAGATTTTCTCAGCCGAGGTCTTTCAAAATACTCTTAATTGCATGTTAGATTACTATGAAAAACTAATTGTCTAATTTGGAGCAATGATAACAATGAAATGTGATATTTAAAAAATGACACATTTCATTGTAACAATTGCAGAAATATTTTATTTTTAGTTTTTTAAAATCAACCTAATTCACAGCTCTTATTAGTGGAAGGCAGTGCTTGCGTGTATTTCTTTTAAAAAAAGATCATTTAAAATTAACATACAATTATTTAGTGTTACCTACATTATGCTTATTTTTTTCTTTTACTAGAACTTTTTACATTTTTACTGCATCTGTACAGTGCGGCTGTGCGATGTTTAGGTTTATGTTGAGAATATTAATTTAAAGCCAGAAAAAAATTTTTTTTTTCACTGTTATGAACAAATTTTAATTTTAGTTAATTAAAATTGTTATAATAATATTTTTAATGGTTTATTAAATTAATATTCTCTCACATTCCCACGAACTTATGGGTAAAATTATTTTCATTCAATTATTCATTTTTATTTTTATGTAAATCTATGGTTTTTTTTATTGCTATTTTCATTATAATTGATTATTTTACAGCCTACAAGTTTGTACATGTGTAAGTCTGATGTTCACATCTCAATGCCGCCACTGAAAAGATTGTCTTCGTTGTTTGCCAATGCCCAATACGATGTAGTCAAGAAATTTTTTTTATTTTTTGTTATAAATTTTTTATTTTATTTATTTCTGTCAAAATACTTCATTATTTTTTCTACTTTTATTCAAGTTTAAATTTTTTAAAAAAAATGATAAGAAAAATTATAAAGTCTCAAAAGACCAAATATATACACATCAATAGTTTTAGACCTAAAAAAAATCTTTTGTTTCATTAAAAAAAAAAAAAAACAAATATTTACGTAAATATTTGCAATTGTTTACTAAAAATTGATGTTCAAAAATATTTAGTCCAGATACAGATATTGTAAAAAAATTTTTATGTCATTAATTAACTTAACTGTAAATGGCAGTTCAATAGTACTTTTTTCACTATATATTAAATCATTTTTACAGAATTCTGACACAATAAAAATATGTCATTCTACTAATTGTGATTTTTGTCATTATTTACTAATGGTTATTGTTTATAAAACAATTGTGTCAGAACATTGGCATTGATTTAACAATAAGAACACATAAGATATCCAGCTTTCAAGCATTTAAACGTTCATATCCCTCAAAAAAATATATATTAATAATGAAAATAATCCTATCATAAATCCATCGGGCAAATAAGATCAGAGTAAAGAAAAAAAAAAAACAAAAAAAATTAACTAAAATGATTGAAAACAATATTGGCTATTAATCAAGCCAAAAAAAAAACGCAATAGCGTTTTAAATAAACGTTGAAAGTTAACAGAAAACTTAAAATAATATTCACAAAATTGCCTAATTAAACAATAATGTTTCAACAACTAAAATCAACTTAATTGATTTTTACTAGCGAAACAATTGAGTCGCGGTAAATATCAACCGATTTGCGATAAAATAATACGAATAATATTTAATAAAAATTAATAACGTTAAAAAAAAAAAAAAGAAAACAAAGTTTCTTACTTTGTATGCTGCGATATCGCATGTGAGCTGTGTAGTGAACTGCATAAGTGTGTTGCATCCGTGGCACCATCAACACCACCAGAATCCCAAGCACGTTATTTACCTTCAGCTCGGTTTACTTGGTGGTCCATGAGTAGGTCCATGTAAGTGTAGATTATGTATGCTACCTACTTGATTACTGGTAAGACTGGACATCGTTGGTTGGTACATCGACATGTAACTGCTTGACGACTGTGGCATTGACCTAGCAAGTATTGTGATGATTCGTTGGACATAAGGAACGGCTTGGGCATGTAGTGGAAGAAGAGCCCCCACGACGACGACGTGGTCGACGACGAAGGAAGTAGAAAAACAATGTGAACCGCGCTCTCTTACCTCGGTACGCCGCGTAGTGGTTCCGGTGTTGCTGATGAATTTCTCACGACTCCAGAGCTATTTGCATTTGCAGGTGACACGATGTTACTTGGTTGACCTTGGTGATATGCACTCGTCGCTGGACTATGCCTAAAAAAATTATTTATTATTAATAATTAAACTTTTTATTATTTATCAACTACTTTTAAAAAAAAAATTAAAATAAGAACTTGAATTAACTAGATTTATCTTGCTAATAAATGTTATTATATAAATAAACACAGTTTTAATGTTTAAAATTTATTTATGATTTCACAATGATCTCATTTATACTGTAATGTAATTGGAAAGTAACTTCAAGTCTATTTGTGGATAATTTACCTTATTGTAGGACTGGGTTGTGGAGGTACCATAGATCCTCTATGAGAATATTGTGAAATCGAGGCTGCTGCAGGTGGTGAAGGATCTGGCGGTAATCCATTCTCTAACGGCGTTGAATGTCCACTTGAACTAGAGTGTGGTAAATACGCATTATTCACTCGAGAATCACGATTTACTCGTGATATCGATGGAGCACCAGCTGCTATATCAGGATGAGGAGCGTTTGGATGCGATTGATTAGCGGATGGATGAATATTATTAACTATAATGAAAGAAGAACATTAATTATACTTTCACTATTTCATCAGGTTTCTTGATTAAATATTCTTATTTTAAATCATAATTATTAATAACTATCAACTTAATCAAAATTCCTAAGAATACTATTATTATTTCATTTGAAAATATAATACTTATCTAATTAAATTCATTTTACAATATTTATGCACTTTAAAATTTTTTTATTCATAGTAAAAAATGAATTTTATGTTTCACTCACTTGAATGTGTACTTGGTTGGGTAGTGAGAGGTATCGCTAATCGAGCATTGACAGCTAATAAGTGATCTCTTCGCTGTAAAAGACTATTCACATGTTCTTCTAATCGTAGATTTTCTGCTCTTAGTTGATGCAGACAAGAAAGAAGTGATGCAACTAGAATAAAAACATTCTTCATTATATTGGAAATCTTAAAAAATTAAATATAAATTGTGTTTTATTTGCCACGAATCTGTACTGCTTTTTTTTTGCAATTTTACCATGCATTCTTTAATAAGAAGATTAAAATTATGTTAATTGCAACAAATAACACAAGTGAATAGTTTAAATGTTTTGGCAATATTTTTGAAATCCAATATTATTATAGAGATTGTTAATAATTATTTAAAAAACTGTTTCCATATGTAGTTATTAAACTTAGTTAATCATGCTAAAAAAAAAAATTCTAAATTTTACTAAATATATTCCCAGTATTACTCAAAGCCCATGCTTAAGCGTGTGTTTTTGCCGTACACTCACTATCAAAGTGCTGAGCCTGTTCCATCAAAAACTGACTCCCTTGTTCCCACTGCCTTTCAAGAAGTTGGTCAAGAGTCTGTGGTATTGCACCTCCTACTAACGTCCCAGCTGTAGAGTTTGGACTGGAATTGGTATTACTGTTTGTCGAAAATACTGAAGCAAAGGATGTGGGTCCATGTGTCGTTGGCTGATTAGAACGTATCTACCATTTAAAAAAATTTTTATAATAAAAATTATTTTCATTTTTGATTCTATTTTACTATCATCCAATTTCATTTTTATTGTTTGTGAATGAACGCAATAATTATCAAACTATTATCATATTAACAAAAAAAAAAAAAAATTGTAATAACTATTATCACTACTCCAATAAAATAATGTAGTAATATAGATATAACAAAAAAAACTTGCCGACGCAATAACCCGACTGTGTAGTTGTGGCCCTACTAAAGTCGTTGATGAATTACTGGCTTCAGTAAATATTGAATGGGCCTCCAATTCTTGATTAAGCGTATCAGACATTTTTTGTGCCATAGTTGACGATGGATTTAACTGATTGCCTAACATGTGTGGCGCACTTACTCCATTTTGGAATCTAGAGCCAAAATAATTTATACATTTTAATTACAATAATGATTAATAGTCGATTAGTTTATTTATATTAGAAGAGTTTTATGAGAAAGCTAATATTTTCTGAATAGATTATATTGAGATTAATTAAATTCTAATTATGCACAAATTCTATTGATTTCTACAGTCAGTTGAATAAGTTAATAAGTTGAATAAACTATTCATATTTTTGTATAAATAGATTCATGAAGATTACTGAGTTAAATATTAATTTTAAATGTGTGGTTCATTTTTGAAAGATTTAATAAATTAGTATTCCTACGAATAAATATTTAAGAAATTAGAACCCATAACAATATCTTACAATTTAACATCCTTTTCTTCCTTAGTATTGTTTCCTATAGCTGTAGGTGTAGTAGATACGGACGGTGTAGGAGTAATTGAATCACGGCCTCCAACAGTTTTTTTCTTTCTTCTTCCTGGTCCAGTACTACTCATACTTTCAGAACTCGGACTACTCGGCGGTGAGTCTTTAACTACAGGTCTCATGGCATTCCCCGAAGAACCAGAATTGACGCTACTAAAATGCCCAGTACCTAAAGTAGGTCCTTGAATAATAGAAGGTACTGGAGCGACTGTTAGTGTTGGTGGTGGTGGTGTTGGATGATTATTTCTACCAAGACCACGTTTAGATGTTGTCACTATAGCACTGTTACTAGTTGAAGTGGCAGTTGATGAAACAGGCAATGGTGGTACTGGTAGTGGTTGACTATTTGATGATAAACCTCGTTTCGTTTTTCTGACTTTGTCCTGCTTATCTGTCGATTGTGATCTATAAATTCAAGATAAATAAAGTATTAAGTTTATTTTCTCAACTATGTGCTAATTTTTTAAATCAAGATTTCTCTTTAATTTATTACCATTCAATTTTACACTTACATGAAAATCATTTTAAATGATAGTAAATCACTATTTAAAGATTTAAAAAATGGAAAAATAATGAAAGAATGATTAAATATTAAAAAAATTAAATAAATGATGTTATTTCTTGTGTATTATATTCAAAGAAATTGCTATAAAATGATTTAGAAATGGAGTAATAAAGATTCTACCTATATGATGAAAATAGACATTCAGTCAATTATTTTCGTGGTGAGGTAAACAACTTTCTAATATTTATAATAATATCAAAATAAATAATTATTATGAAAAGATAAATATAAAATTACTTGATATAAATAACAAAGATGACAATAACATTTCTATTTACTCCAATTTAACCACGTGACATTATTTTTAATCGAAGTCTGGTTTTGTTGTCTGAACAAATAAATTAGTTATTGAAATAGAGTGTCAAAATTTAAATTGACAAATAAAGTAATCTAATTTATCTATAATAACTGGTAAAAGTAAAATAAAAATCTGAAATAATCAATATTAATATAATTATTAAAATAGAAACTTAATTAAAGTGTTGAAACATGTCATTTAAAATAATGCTCGAAAATGTAAATATGACATTTATTTATATTAATAAATAATAGTAAAAGAAATAATAATCAATTAAACAAGTAATGATTCGGAAATGAAAAGTAAAAAAAAAATTATGTGAATAAAAAAAGGTTCTTACAAATAGTTTTTTTGGATGATAAAAGTTGATGAATAAACAATGGAATATATATATATACACGTCAATATTACTGAGTAACATCTAAAAATGATATTCTTAATACTATTATTAAATAATCTGAACATTAAAATGACCTCAAGTGAACTGAAGTGCTTAATAGTACCACTACTGCTATAAACACTGCATTTTTAAAACAGGAAACAAGATTTTTACAACATTAAATGAATTCAAAAGTCTTTGAATTAATATAATTATTGTTTTATCATTTAATTGATACATCACTAAATGTTTTTATAACTTCAAAACATAACTAACGAACAACACGAAGTGATTATCACACGTTAAAGAGGTTAGATAGACTTGCTTGTTTACCCCCCACGTCAGCCATTTCTAATACCAGCTCACTGCACTCTCGAAAAACCGTGTCGATACCTCGAACTTTCTCGAATCATTTCGCGCCAATTATGTTTAAATCGCACAACTTCACGATGATTTTGCAACATAAATCAATAATCTATTGTTTATTTTTATTAAAATCAAATAAACAATACTATTGCTGCACATTTTTAAAATATTTTTAACTTATAAAACAAAAGAACTATTATAAAAAAAATAAAATTATTTAAAAATGAGTTTAGTAACGCTATTCAATAAAATAATTGTGTAAACATTGGATTAAAATGTATTATAATGGTTATAACATGAAAGAAAAAAAATATTAGAATATTGATAGAAGATATGTGTAAATCAGAATTTTGTTGATGATTTAACCTAAAAGTCTTACCGTGATCTTTTGGCAGGAACATCCCCGGAAACAAATGATTCTGAATTAGAAACAGAACTAGATCGGTTATCACTAATGACAGCGGCAGTGGTCATACTCTGTTGTAATTGTTGATAAAGAGTAGGTGCACTTGTCACAACACTTTGTACAAAATTAGAAGTAGCTGTCAATGGTACAGATACAACAATACTTGTTGAAGTAGTTGTAAGTGATTGCGTTGATTGAGTCTGAGCTATTGACATAATCACTGGTGTCGTCGTGGCTTCTGTTGTAATAGGAGCATTGGGAGTTAAAACTGGAGGACTATCAACTTTCAGCTGAAAATAAAAAATAATTTCTTATTTCATTCTGATCATAATCAATTGATACTTGGTAATTTGAATTGACACCAGCAATTGGAGTTTGTAAAATAATGATTGTCTTTGAATTTTATTTACCTTCTTCGATTTCTCTGGCTCCGATGTACTGCTAAGACTAGTTGCTTCAGTTACCGTAGGTTGAACCATATTACTTGACGTCGGTTGTACAATTGAACTCACCGCCACAACTACTGAACCGCTTGCTTCAGAACTAACAGAATTATTCGAATTTTCACTACCCAATACCGTTGGCGTACGTGCACCAGTCTTACGCTTCTTGGTCGTATGACTTGAAGACTTAATAGTTGATGATGAACTTGACTTGGATTGGCTACTATTTTTGTGTGCCAAGTTTGTGGTTGATCCAGACTTAATCGCACTTGTTGCTGAACTTGAACTTGCTGGAGTACCACCATTTCCACTATTACTACCGTCATGGCCAAATACACTTTCCGATTGAGTAACGACAGTTTCTACAAAATTTGAAGTTGTAAATTTACTCGATGCTGATGTCTGATTAGCATCCTTTGGAGTATTACGACCACTACCACTTTTATCATCAGCAATTCCATTGACATCTAAATTGGGACTAGCATTGGATTTGCTCTTCGAACTTGACGTTGATGATTTTGAACTTGAACCCTTACGCTTCGTTGTCGAAGTTGTTTTTAAGGGTACCTCCGCTTCCTTCTCGGGAGAGGAGTCTGACGATCCATTATCTGCTGGAATCGGTTTATACGGTGGAATTGTTTTTACATTTCCACCTTTTTTCTGTAAAGTAATAAAATTTATTAAAAATAATACATTAATAATAAATACTAGTTAATAATTCCTTGTTTAAGTAAACAAAAATTACTTTTATTTATATAATTTTTTTAATTTAATCATTTTTAAATAAATACTTTAATAGATATGTTCATGATTCGATAATTAATAGTAACATTGAAATGTTCATATAGTTAATAAAAGATTCCAAGAAATGAATAAGCTTGAAGGATGTTAATTTATATTAATCCGATTAGAGAAGGATTATAGAAGTTACTTATAAACTGAATCTTACCAGTTTAGAATAATGATGCTGACAATATCCACAATATTTTACATTGTCAAGATAGTTGCCAGCTTCTTCACATAAAAGACCAAGTGCTTGAGCACAAGTTACATGAAAATGTTGCTTACAACCCGTCTTATTACATTGCATACATGCACCAACAGTGGCTCTGCCACCTCTGCCTTGCTCTTCACAAATGTAACACATCTGAAAACATTTTAATACTATTAATAGATGTATCTATAAATGTTATATATTTATTTGCAAACATTTTTACTACTTTTAATTGAATATTGCTTAATAGTTACCATGCTACAAACTTTAAAACATCTATTTTAAAACCATAAACCGTCAAAGTTTATAACAGTTATTAAGTGGTAATCTTGGAAGAAATGTTAAGAATTTCTGAGAATTTTATGCCCATTCTGATCTTTTATCAATTTTACGAGTTTTTTAAATTTTGGCAACCTGGCAGTTCAAATTAGGATGAAAAAAGGTAGGTAAAATTATAAGTTTGAAAAAGGTCGACAATAGATTAAAACTAAATGACTGTCTGCTTTCTAAAGTACCAAAAATCAATCAAATCTTTCTAGAAAGTAGTAAAGATTGATAGCAGAGGCTAAACATTAGTCTAAAATTAGCTTTTATTATTATTATTGTTATTCACAAAAGTATTTTCAATTAAAATCAATTGGACATTTTATTATTTAGAAACCGAACTGCCCATATATTCCGAATTATAAAACTGGGTTTGAATTTACCATTTTTTATGCATCATAGAGAATAATATCAATTATTCGATTATGTCATTGTTTAGCTGATTAATTTCCTTCAGTGATAATAATATTTACTAAATATCTCTAAAGTATTGAACCAACTAACGATATTATCAAATAATTGATTTATCGAATTTCACTTTAATATGAAGATAAAGTTCATAACATAATTATATTATAAAGCTATATTTCAATTAAGTGGTTCAAATTGAATATTTATAAGTTCATAATTAAGAAATAATTTATACACGGTTCTTTTCTCTTTATCTTAATCAAATTTTTCAACGATTCAATAATTTGAAAATTTGTAAATTTTTTAATTAAAAAGTTTTGTAATTAAGGTACCTTATTAAACCTCTCAGCGGGTATAAGTTGAAGAATAATAGGCTCCATTGTTGTAACATTGCCAAATCTGACTTCAGGAATATAAAGTGCACAGACCACGTGGGCCCAGCCAGCTTGGTCTGTTCTTTTAAGTGCCCCATCTCGACTTGGGCACAATTCACAACGCTATTTCAGTGCAATAAAAGAAGTTAAATAATTATCATTCATACTTTAAAATTAATAATAATTTTAGACTGAGTTAAACTTACCACACGTGCACTTCGCTCTTGTGATTCGCACTTCCTACAGTACCAAGGTCCTGTTGGTACTGTAACAATTCCATAACATGCTGCAAAAAAGATAATTAATGAACAAATGAATGTAAAAAATAAGTAATTGTATTATGATAAATTAATTAAAAACGAATTTTCACATATTGACGATGAACAGACAAAAAATAACCCACGAGAACACGTGATATTCGGTCAGTCACCTAATGAAAAACTAGTTTGGCAAGTGAGGTAAAGAAAAATGAATCGTGACAATTTTTTGAAATAAGTCAAATTATCATATAACCTTTTACATACCTAACCTCACATTATTTCATCAGCAACTGTCATAGATATTAATATGTAAAATGTAACAGCTCTACAATTGTGATGAAAACAATACAGTCTTGAACAAGAGATACTATTGTGTAAGACATTTACATTTAAATGATTTCTACGACATTAACTTGTAATGAAAAATTGATAAGCGTGAACTAATGAACAAAAGCAAAGAGCATGAATGGCTCATTACTTGAACATAAAAATTAATTACTTGATGTAAAATACACACCTTGGTGAACAGCAACAGTACAACCCTGTCCGTCGCAGTACACCAGTGGATTCTCGGTCCATCCCCTCTCATCAGAACACACGCAGCACCCTCCAAGCATCTCCTTCATGCTGTGGTCCAGGCGATTCGAGAGACGAGACTAGCAGCCCGAGCTAAGCCAGCCGATGGTGACGGGTACGTACACATCCCGTAGGTAACACATCCTGGAGAGGACCACATTCAAATAATTTCGAATTAAAAGTTTAGTGAACCGTCAACGGATCGTCCTCTCAGATGTTCGCGTCGTCGCCTGTGTTGCACGCGCGTGACGCATTCAACGGCCGACTTTTTAGCACTCTTCGATGACCTTCAACCGAATTTCTGATCTCAATTAGACTGATAATTATTCAATATTCAGTTAGTAAAGTCTTTATCAAAACACATAAATACCACCTAACATAGAAAATTCTTTTTTAAACACACCAAAAGTTTGTTATTTACGCAGGCGGTTTTTATTTGTTTCGTTCGACAGCCATCTTATTTTACTGTCGCGCGGCAGTCTGCGCGTGCGCTCACATAGCGCGCGCCATTCAATGATGAGGCATCATGGGACACCCTATGAAAAACGTGCAAGTTCATGATGCTAATCCTCATGCTTATATTATTCTTATCACATGCAGAAGAGCTTTTGTTCCATAATAACGACTCTATTTTTAAATTTTACTTGAATTATATATCAATAAATGAATGCTATGAATACGAATATATATTCAGTAATCTTCGTCTGAATTTCATCACATCACTATTGATTCAATATTTTAAAACATATTTCATGATATTGTTTATGATTAATGAATACTAATGAATCTTTCTATATTAATATTTTTTGCTCTTTCGAAATTAATATTAATTTACTAATTTAAAATAGATAAATATCATATTTACTTTGTTGATATTTCAAAAATGCGCGCTTGTCCTGACGATGAAATGACCGTAAGTCGATAAAGTAGATATTTTATCGACTATCGGATTATTTGAAATCCCAAAAGCGGCAATTTTCAAGATATTATTAATTTCCAACGTCAGATGGATGTACAATATTTTAGCTATTTTTTGTGATTTTCCACTGTTTAAATTGAAAGTTGTTGTCAACACCATCGTCAGACTGTAAGTAAATAAATAAATATTACAAATTTATATCTTCCAAAAATGAATTCCAATTATTCAAAACTTGATATTTGCAGAAACATTACTCCATAAAAGATATAATCATGTCATCAAGACACTTTAAGGAAATTAATTGGAAAATCAAATGATTATTTATTGATATTCTTGATACAAATTAAAATACAAATATACTTATTGGATTTAAATAATTTTTTATATATCTTTATAACAAATTACCATCCATAAATATAAAAGAGACTTTAACTTTAAATAAATTATGTCCCCATTTTTGAAAATAAAATAGTCTAATTTTATCATTGTTTATTTTCATCGTTAAGGAGACCACCAGTAAGACAATATTGCTCACATACATCTTCGAAAAATTTTCCGTGGAGTTTTTTGTCTTCCTGAGACCTCTTTACAGACAAAAATAAAAAACACAATTGAAAAAATAGATATTTGATGAAGGAATAGATGAAAATTAGACTCAGTTATTTACTGGCCTATTATTTAGGTTATCATATAAAATCAATGCAAGACATTCTATTTAATTCTAAAAAAACTGCAGTTTCCCGCAAACAGTGTAGCACAATCAATTGATAGAAGGGGAAATTATCATCCATAACCTTCGTAACACATATCATATGACGTTTGAAGTAGACTATGCATGGTGGGGGGTCATGTTTACACTATTCAGAATCGTAAATCGCGTCTGAGCTCAGTTTTATCGAGACCTTCAAACGTATTGTGTATTCCAGTCAGTTAAATTAAACTCATCATGAGGTATCATTTAAATATCAATTTATTGCAACATTTTTATTAATCACTTTATGTTATCAACAATTTTTAAAATAATTATTTTAAAACTATGCCAAACATGAAATTGAACTCGTTATAATGATTTTTATTAGTCTCATGTATTTAATTAACTGTCATAACAAAATGATCTTAGCTCTGAATAATTTATAGTTACTAAAAAATATAATTGAAATTTTATGATAATTATTTTTTATAAATTTTGCAGTGAACGTAAGAGAATGCCTTCATACAGGCCATGGGGATCAACAGAAGATGGAGCAATTGAATTTGAATCATTAACTACTCAAACATTGAATGGAGCTCTAAAAGTAATTCGTGAAAGTTTTTTCACTTGTGAAAACGTTTGTCTGGGTGTTGATTTACTTTCTGAACCTGGAGCTGCAGAGGAGCTTGAACAATTATGCTTAGAAGCAGCTAGTGATGGTGTTAGTGTGGTAGCAATTGATGTCAATACTCAAGAAGTTGTTGGTGTGGCTTTCAATAAACTTCATGTAAGATACAATTCATTACCAATTAATTCACGTAATACATTTTTTTTTTTTATTTAGCATAGTATGTAGATTTTAATGATTATTAAATAATTTAAATTTTCATTTACTTCAGAAATAAATAAACTGTGTTTTGGAAAGGTGAAGTAAAAGTTGAGATGTTTCAAAAATTATTAAGATAATTGATTAGATAATGATTTAAATGAACTTTGATCTATTGTAAATTCAAAATTTTAAATTCAATCATCTTAAAAACACGTATTTTAAACATAAAAATAAATTGTTTGAACTTGAAAATATGAGTTACAGTTGAATGGATGAATAATAATAATAGTCTATTAATTAATTGAATAGCTGCTTTATTATTTTTTATAGAATTAGTTGATTAAAATAATTACATACTTGATTAACAAATAAATATTATTTTCCAGGGTCAGCAAGATCCTAGTGTGAAAGGAAACTTCGAAAAATTTAGTGAAAATTGTAAATACAAATCATCCAAAGCTCTAGTCGACTTTATGATAAACGTTGATTCAAGAATTAATTTATTTGAACATTATAATGCTGCCTGTCTATTGGAAATAATGTTTTTAGCAACATTACAAAATTATACTAAGCGTAGAATTGGAGAATTATTAGTATCATCGTCTCTAGAATTAGCAAGGCAATTATATTGTGGGAACGCTGTGAAGACGGCTGTTGAAATCAATTGTAATTCAATTCTCACCAATGTCAATGCTATTCCGAGCTTAGTTACTGCAATAATGACTTCGAATTATTCTCAAAAAATTAGCAGTAAACTCGGCTTTGATTGTTTAGTCATAGTAAGCTTTGATGAATTTACTTTCAATGGTAAAAAATTTAGTGAGAGAATCGGAAGCATCCATAAAACTTCGCGATTAGTAGCTAAAAGACTGAGTAAAAAATAGTGCATGCAATATTACCTTAATTGAACAATTTTATCATGTTTTAATATATAAATATAATTATTATTGTTACAAGAGTTTTAAAATTTAAAAATTAAAGAAAGTTTTTTAATATTACGTGCAATGTATATAAATATGTTTTCATCGATAAGAAATCGAATATATTTGAAGAAATAATGAAATATTTACTCAATTTTATAGTTAGATAAATGAATTTTAAAAATAAAATGTTATTTTTATATTTGAACATATTTTTATTTTACCTTTGTCGTCTTATCTTGATACCTTTTATTTTATAATCTCTTTTTTACTGATCGACAATTGTATAAGCTTCTTTTAATTATGCATTTAAATTAGGAATAATAAAATAGTTTGAAATACGATAGCAAGTAATGATTTTTTAGTAGAACATATTGATAAAAATTAAGAAAAATCAATGGATTAATGCAACAATTAAATTAAATGAAAGGCTTAAAAAAGCCATTATTATTTATCGACTTTGATATCGTAATATAAGTTATAACTAAATATTTATAATTTATAAATCCATTAAGGATACTTAATTAATTGAAAATTAGTTTAAAAATCCATATTCCACTGAAAATACTGATAAATTTTTACAACATAAGAAATGAAAGAAATTTATTGAAAAAAAATTAGATGTAACTTGGTATTGACAGTATGAAGTTTCTCCAAGGAATTATATAATGGTTCATGATTGTGTTGAACAATAGATACAATAAATATCAAATAATATCTTAAAAAAGTTCTACATGGTGATCATTTAAGATATTACAAATTCAATGAATGATTTCTATTCGAATATTTATTAAAACAATATCATTAATTTATTTATTTATTCATACTCTATGTGAAGTGGAAATTCCACATCACCATTAGACGTGTATTGCCTATAAAAGCAATGAAAAAACTCCACTTCATTCCTTATTAGTACTCTGCTTCTCAATAACACAACACTAAAGCAGACTTTTTTTCTTAATTAAAAAAAAACAGGCATCCAACAGGGACGAAAAAAATTTGACAGATTTATGATATTACGCTTTTGCACCGTTCGTGTTTGGCATTCTTTTGAGTCTGTTAATGATTACTATTGGCTTGAATTTCTCATTATTGCGTTGATGCTAAAGTTGAAGCTTAAGCTGGAATAAAACATTGAATGCGCAAAAAGCAAGTTCGGGATATATCACTTGAAATGGAACTCGTTTTTGTAGATCAAAAAAACTGTTGAATTCTTAAATAAAATATCGTCAATAAAATTCTTCTCATCTAATATTTTTTTGCTTCCGTTCTTTTTGATATCCATTTATTGAATCCGTTCTAAATGTCAAAACTTATTACTCAAATATTTCATTCACTTTTAGAGAAACTATTTAACACATCATTTCGGAGCAAATAAAATTCATTCTGTTACTTTTTTTTCAATGATAATTCTTGCGCACTCCACGTTTGGTGTTCAACATTTAACGTGTAAGAGACTAATATTTTTTATCTCAAGAAGCTCACATATACTCATGAAAGGCATGATAACAAATGACAAAATAAAAAAACCAATTGTTACATTCAGAATTTAATTAAAACTTTTCTTACGATACGTTCATAAATATAATCTGAATAAAAATTCAAGAACAAAGATATAACATCAAAGAAATGAAGAATACCCAAAGTCAATTGATCATTCTTATTATCATCAACCATTTTTCTGTTGAATAAACAACTTTATTTTCTAAAAGTCATTTGTAATTAAATATTTCATTCATTTATCATTATTAGAAGATTTTTTTCCATCTGAAACGTCTTATCAGTTTAGTTTAGTATAATAAATTTTGCTGAACATTTATTATTTCAACAACTCATTCAGGTTGCTGAAAGAAAATGACACATGTTAATATATGCTAAAAAAAATGTTTATCAAGTCTAAAATAGTTTCTTGGTAGAACAAAACCTCGTGATAAACCAACTTTTATGACTTCACTTAACCCTTAGTTATACTTAGACGTTGATAATAGTGTGTTGTCTAGCATCAGTTCTAACTTTCTTACATAATTTGAAATATATGTACGTAAAAGAAGAAAACAAAATAGACAGAAAAGAATTAAAAACAAAATCATTCAAGTAATTTAAAAATAACAATGTAAATATTTGAACATAAAACTATCAATGTAAACAATATTATTATTGATAACATTGATAGATAAGTAAATTTACAAACTACGATCAATTGATTTTACAAGCATTGACTTTATTTATCGATTTAATTAGATTATTTACTACTGGTGAAATTTATATTCATTTATACATTTCATTCTAGTACATTTAATCTGATCAATAAAAGTTATTGATGAATTGTATTTTCGAACAATAGGATGAAAATGACTTGAGCTCTTCCCTTTCGTATAATCTCACTAACAATGTCAATGAAACAGCTCGTTTAAAAGAACTGTTTCTACGCAGCCTCCATGAAACTTTATCTGAGTTACCACACTCAGATACTGCTAGCACCTCTTACAGAAGTATTCATTTCCTTTAGCACTTTATTCCAAAACCTGTGTAGTGAAAGCTTGACAATTCCAATTGATCATTCACTTTAAATAATAAACATATTTTTAATAATAATTACAAATAAAAATAATATCAATTTATCTGAAATAATTATTTTGAAATTTTACTGAGATTCATTTAAATTACAGTGAAATTGAATTACCTGAAACAAAAGAATTTTAAAATGAGTTTTAAAATTGCAAGCCCAGAAAAAAATATTGAATATCGACTTTTAACTGAAGATAAACTAGAATCAGCCCTTGAAGTGCAACAAAAATCGATGTATTACGAAAATGTGGCAAAAGGTGTTGGGATTTATGAAGAAGAAGGTGCTGCTGAAGTTATGAAAGTTATATTTCGCGAAGTTGTAAAAGATAATTGCACTATTGTTGCTATTGATACAAATACAGATCAAGTTGTTGGAGTTTCTTTTAATAAGTTACATGTGAGTTTAATTAAACATTATGAATAACTTATCTTATAAAAGTTATCAGCGAATCAGTGCTGATAGTGTTGATAAATAAAAAATAGTGTCATCAAATATTCCAATATTGAGTATTCATAAATTTTATTACTCCCTGTAGGTACCAATAGCTACGGATGTATCCAATATTTTTAATGAGGTAGTGAACAATCATGTGAAACAACGGTCAGCTCTTGCTCTTATTCAATTTCTCGATGACGTAAGCTATGCTTAATTTTTCTAGCATCAATGACTGCATGCTCTCTGTGAACTAAATCTTAATGTTTTTTTACTTGTTTCAATTTAAATGTAAACAATTGGTGATTATTATTAGAATATAAGTTTTGATTATTAAATATTCAATTAATTTATGCATTAAAGTAATTGTATCAACAAAAATCATCGATAATCATTAATTATTACCGTCACTTATGTTACCTATCTATCAATGATTGGATATAAAGTTGATCCTTTTGTCTATTTTTTTACATGGACCCACATCGAAAACATTTAATTATTTAATTCAATTTATTTAATAAATATTTAAATGCCATTTAATACCTTTTCAACTGATTATTTAAGAACAATGATGTGGTGTAAAAAAAGAATAAAATAAAATAAATGCATTGAAAGCAAATAACCATTGACAATATCAATTAAAGCTATCAAACATTTGAAAAAAGTTTTGTTTTTAGATTGAATCCAAGGTAAACCTTTTTGAGCGGTACAACACCCAAGCAGCTATGGAAATCTTTTATGTAGGAACAGATCCAGACTATTGTGGACGACGAATTGGACATGGTATTGTTTCTGCATCACTAGAATTAGCTAGAGGATTGCAGCGCTATCAAAATAATCCTGATCAAATTGTTCCTGGAGTTGCATTTGGAGTATTTACGTCTAATTACAGCCAGAAAATTGCTGAAAGCTTTCATTTTGAATGGTTGGAAACTGTTTGGTACTCTGATTGTGAATACTGGGGTAAAACAATGGCTGAAAGAATTGGAGATGAACATAAAACTGCAAAACTTGGTGCACTACATTTGTGAATTATTCTTGGCCCATTTTCTATTGTATTTGTAATTGACTGATTCAATTATATTATTGGAACATTCTAAACACTACTTAAATAAAATAACCTTTTTTATTGTAAACGTTTATTTATAAGACAAATAAAATTTATTATCAATGCAACTAACTTAAAAAACTTCATAAAAAATATTATTTATTCGAGTAACAATCAAACAATAATTAATACGTAAATCAATAAAAACTGTATTAAAATTGAAGTTTTATTATTTAAAAAATTTTTCTATTGTTTATTGATAATTTTTAGTTATTTTTATGTTCTACTACTTGTAAAATAATTCAGGTTATACTTTAAAAAACTCCACTCACAGTGTGACGATAATATAGGCATCAGTTTTATCGTGATAACAAAAACTGATAAGAAAGAGCCCTACTCCAAAATGAAAATGTTGAAATCATATTGACAGGTGGCAAAAACTGACGTCTATGTGGACATGTGTAAACATCTTCCACGTGGATAAAAAATTATATAGATTGAGAGTGACATGTGTTTTTGAGGAATCACTGACTTGAATCAGTCAACAATATTTATATTTATCAATAGAATATTCTAAATAAGTTATAATGGCTGTAAGTATTTATAAAACACTGTAATTACTTGTATCAATAATTTAATAATTGAAACTATAACCTCCAGGTTTGTTAAATTAATTATTTATCTTCATTTCAGCCACCAACAAAAAGTAGTAAAGTTGCAACCAAGGGAGCTAAACAAATAGTAGAAGAAAATGCTGCTACATTAAATTTTTATAGAAATATGGCTCTTGGAGCTACTGGAGTATATTTAGCAGTGATGATGGTGCTATTTGAATTTACAACATTAACAATTGTAATTCTTACTTGACATTTCAATAATCTTAAGTATATTTTAATTATTTATAAGTAAAAGTATTTGAATTATATCAAAGTATTCCATTGGTTTAGTATTTATTGTTTCATTAAATTTAATGAATGTTTATTGTTACAGAGTTTAACTATATTTTCCGCAATAATTTATGTTGCAAGTTATCAATTAATGGCTTACATGGCTAAAACAAAATATAGTGAAACAAATCAACTTATAGATTCTGGAGTTGATTTGAATATGAAAGGTGGTATAGCTGAGTAAGTATCACTCTTTGATAATCGACAACTAAAATGATAAATCATTAACATAAAGTCTTAAATAAAAATATTTTTTTTATTTATATTATTTTTTATAGACATGTCATAGACTTAATTATCTTAACTTCCGGATGTCAATTACTTTCCTTAATATCAAATTACTTCTGGCTTCTTTGGTTACTTGTAAGTAGTATATTTTGATGAAAATGATATTATAAGAGAATTAAAAATTAATTATAAATATAACCTTTAGGCACCAATAAGAGCATTTTATCTAGCTTGGATTAATTTCCTCGGTCCATGGTTTTTCTCGGCACCTCAGGAACCAGAAATTGATGAGAAAAAACAACGAAAATTAGAGAGAAAGATGGCTAAACGCCACTGACAAATTCAATTGAAAGAATTTGAGTTTTAATCATGTGAGATTGATGATTCATCAAGATGAAATTATATAGAGCAGTTTTTGATAGTAATGAATGTTGAAATTTATATATGTATTGCTTTTGTTAAATTATTCATTATTTAATATCTCTTCCTTAAATTAAATGAATTTTTTAAAAAATCACGTGATTGATCATTTTTAAATATTGAATAAGAGTAAAGATTGAATATTCAAAGGTTTAATTTATTTCAATTATTATTATTATGGTTGTTATAAATTATTTTATGGCATCTTATATTTATTTTATAATTATTGACATACTTTAAATTATTTCATAACGGTCGTTTTTGCGCGCTATGTCACGAGCGCCCTCAACTTATTCAGTGGGTTTAAAGAGCTCCAAGTGTCCAGCTGGCATTATCGTGATTGTCAAGTTGAATGTACAAACAAGTAACCAAATTTCGAGTAGATAAAAACAAACAACAATCATGAATGGTGATGAATTTCCAAAACCTGATGATACTCAATTTATATCATTCCAAGATTATTCAACAACTGCTAGACATGGTGCAGAAGCCGAAATAGACCTTGGCACCCCAACTCATCAACGATATAATCTCAATAATGAGCCTATCGGGGTGGAAGGTATAATAGAAGATTTACAAGGATTACCAGAGCAAAGGAATGGTAAGTTTTAATGCATAATTAATCTATAAAATGCCTTTAAAACTTGTACAACCGACATCGTTAAACATTATTTGAAGGTTATGAATGCATATAAGAAATTATAACGAATCATTCTTTTTTCATTAGCAGCGAAAGAAAGCCCTGGCTTTTGGACTCTAGATTACTACAAAAAATATTTCAATGTCGATACAGAAGATGTACTTTTAAGGATAAAAAAGTCAATGATCCCTAGTGGTCAGGACAATTATTTACTTTCACATATTAGACCTAATCCTGATCTGTATGGACCATTTTGGATCTGTGTAACATTGATATTTGCTATTGCAATCAGTGGAAATGTTGCTAATTATTTTCAAACAGCTAATAGTGGAAAATATCATTGGAAATATGAATTTCATTTAGTGTCTTATGCAGCAACTGCAATATGTTTGTATGTATGGTTATTACCTCTCGGGCTATGGGGTACTATGAAGTGGACCAAAGCTGCTTCTCAAAATAATAGCATGGATATTGAATTAATTGAGGTATTTTTATCATTAATATCATCAATTGAATAGTACATGAAGACATTGAAGACTGATTTTTCATATAAATACAATTTTTACAGACTCACCAAGATTTAGGTCTTTTGGAGCTCCTCTGTCTCTATGGTTATTCTTTATTTATTTACATTCCAGTAGCTTTTCTATGGACTATCCAAATTGAATGGTTTCAGTGGACTTTAGTTATAGTTGCTACTATCTTGTCTGGAGGCGTATTGATACGAAGTTTGCTTCCTCTTATAACGAGTAAGAATCTAAGAGTTTGTTCATAAATTGTAAACTCATTTAGTATATACCATCAATTAAATTAACTAATAATTTTTTAGATAAACAGAAACCTATTTACATTGCTATAATTCTTGGACTGCACTTATTATTAGCCATTGGATTTATGCGATTTTTCTTCCACGTTCCAGAAAGGGTTGTAACAGAACCCAGTAATCAGACTGTACAAAGCACAATTTCCATATTGTCAGAAAATGTAACTAAAATTATAACACAATCAAGTACGAAGTCAAGTTAAGTTGTTACATTTTATGAATTTGTATTATTAATTTTGTTTATAAACTTTCTATTTATAATATATACACCATAATGTTAATAGTGATTTCTTATTGATATTTAAACTATTGAATAACAATATGGTACATTTTGTCAAATAAATCATTCGTAGTTTTTTTATAATGACTCTATAATTAAAGGAAAAATATTCAACGTTGCTACGATTTTTAAATTATAATAAACATAATGTTTACATTTTTCAGTTTGATATATTTTTCCTCTTTTTTGATGAAGTTTTTATTTAGAAGTTATTTTTAAATAGTGAACAGTTCATTAATTTCAATGTCAAACTATATATTGGTTGATGATATCAATAAATCTATTATTTTATACAATAATAAATGCAGTAATTTTTAGCCATAAATCATGTTTTATTCAACGTCTTTGTTTGCACACTGCATTTTATAAATTTACATACATATAAATTTGTAGTTTAATTATATCGTAGCTGTTTACTAACATTCATAAGATGTACAAAAAATCTACAATGTACATTAAAAGCGTCTCTACGTTTGAAAAAATTTAAATGTGCCTTGTGCATATTAATTTACGTTTAGAATCATCAAATAATAGCCGATTAGAATACAATAATGTAATACTTACTAAAAATTAAAACAAGAAATGAATTTCTTCAGTTATTTGAAATAATTTATATCTATAAATAAACCTAAGTAAAATATTATTTTAGTGTGTGGTTGGTCCAGTAAATTTCTATATTAAAAAAAAATAAATAAGAGAAATAAGTGAAAAGTGATGAAAATATTATAAGTAACAAGTCAAACATTATAAATACGTTTTAGTGGATTGAATATTTTCTTTTTTATTCCAACTCATAGCGCAAACTATCAATTGCTCACAAAGATGGATCATATTAATTATTATATTATTAATTAAGAAATAATATACAATGAATTGAGCCAGCAAAACTTGTAAATAGACATAAATACACTCAGGCACACACAATACACATGAGTGTATGAAAAGAGTTATTCAAACAGTTGTTTTCATTATTATTTTTAATAATATTAATATTTATAAATTTGTAATAATTACCCTGATTTTATATTTAAGAATTCATCAGTTAATTATTAATTGTAATAAAACGTGTACAACAATATTTATTGATTGTATTTTACATAACTTTTTAATTTTTCATTTATTTATACAGTTAATCTATTTTACTATATATGATGATAAAATACCTTCAGGTTGAATATTCAGTCGTATGTGTAATTAATCCAGAGTTGAATAAGTTCATCTATCAATCAATGAACTTATAAATAATTAATCAAATTCTAAATTCCCATTTTACTTATTAATTTTGATTAATATTTTATAATTAACTTCTACTGTTTTCTTGTAGTATTTATTTGAGTCCCATTATCTATATTCTACTGTTAATCATTTTTACTTAATACGTAAAAATGAATTTATTAATTTTTAAGATTATTTTCTTGGGATTAAAATTTTCTAATACAGAAAAAAAAACAGGCAGTAACGATAGATTAATAAAGTTACATTTATGAATTTTGATATGTAGATACCTATTTTTGGCAAACCCAACTAGAAAATGTTATACTTTCATTGTATTTTTATATTTTAAACAATTGATATTAGACAGTGAGACTATAGATAATTATTTTGTAAAACAAAAATGGTTATTGTATATAAAAAAATGATCCCTATATAAGTTACTATGGTTAGTAATAATATATTTACATTTATTATTTAAAACAATAATAATTATTTATTTAAAAGCCTTCGTATCATTTTTAATCATAGCAGAATGCAATTGTTAAGGTTGAAATGAATTTTTTAAATTTTCATATTCATTTGTATTCATTAGATGCAGTCGCTAGATTAATAAAAAAAAAAGTTTTTTTTCATTTGTTCAACTAATCCATCTCTAAATTGTCTTTAATAATATTTTTAATTAGTAATATATTGATAGCATTCTGTAGATAAATTTTTATTTTAAAATTTTCAGTGATTTTTTTGTCTATCAATTCATCAACTTTAATTATTAAACAGACACAAGAATAATTTGCCGAGCATTATAATGATAAAATTGACAACTATACAATTATGCTTCGTATTATCTGACAAAAAAGAACTCTTTTATCAATACAGAAATGTTATAAATTATTTTAATTATAACATCTCGTAGAAGTTATCTTTTTTTAAAACTTACAATTATTGCTACGTAGCAAACACAAAAAATGTCTATGACTAGATTTTTTTACCTGTATTATTTTTAAAACCGATTATCCTCATCTCTTAGATTAACCTGACATTCTAGTTCGAATGTATTTTGATTTTGAAAACTATACTGTTGAATAGTATGACCATACTGAATTGTAAAAAATTATTTTTCAAATTGAAGTCCAAAATTAATTACTAATAATAAAAAAAATATTTTATAGATTATTAAAATTCTGCTAAAGACTGCTTTGTTCATTTTTTAATTCAACAAGAGCTTTCAAATACTATATCAAATAGTAATACCACGATGAGTGATAATTCAATAAATTAATTGATCCAAATTATTAAATAAATTCCCTCTGGAGTGAACTCTAATGTAACCTATTGATTATTTAATGAACATTCAAACAAAAAATAATTGAATATTCATTAATCAATACCATGAGTATACTGAGAGAGAAATCAAGAGGTGAGAACTCGCAATCCATTATTTCTTCATTAAACAAATAATTTCCAATTGAAAAAGGCATGCGCGGTATACCTGGAATTCCAATATAATTAATACATTAATTAATCGGCAATTTTATAGATTGCCATACACTATAATTAATATCTACTAATTATTATTCAATATGATTTTTTTTAGATCTATAGTTATTTTCAATGGTATCCATATTATGTTATTAGTTCTTTCATACTATTTCTATTGAAATTGCAAAGTTTGATATTCACTTGACACTTTTTATTTCATTAAATCATAGAATTTTGAATAATTGATGTCATATTTCATAAAAAGGATACTTGGTAAGGTTAGTTATTTGATTTAAAAACAATATCTGTTAAAACAAAAAATTGTTCTACAAGAAAGAACCCAGTTATTAGCAAACATTGCAGAATTCTTCATTGTTTTTTTTATCTTATCTTTGATTTAATCATATTTTGTTAATATAAAAATGATATAAACATATACAACTGAATGATTCATCATCTTGATCAATTTAAACGTATTATGTACAGTAAGAGATATTAATAATAAATTTTAAAAAAAATGTTATCAATAATAGATATCAATACTTGAATAATTTATGGTTATATGGATATTGTATAAGAGACATTCATTATTGGTTGGTTGATACAGTTTCATTTAGTATCCAATGAATTTGTATATTGGACCGTGTATTGCTGCAGGATATTGTTCATATTGTTAATGGAATACATGAATTCCCAATTAAACTGATTGATTAGATAATACAATCATTTCAATGCTTCATTCTGCATTACATAAAGCCTTGGGATTTATCGTAAATCGCTAGGTAGAATTCGTATTGTCTGTAGAAATAAATAGATAATTGTGTTGCATGTTTAACGAAGAAACGTTATACAAAACATGATTTTAATTCTTATCCTAAATTTCAATTCAAATGAGGAGTATTTAACTGCTCCAAAAGTTGGTATTATTTTTTTTCAACTAAACTTTGAAATAATTAAATTGCTAAAAATAAATTAAAATAAATATGCTGATAAATTTCACCAAAACTTCTATATAGATGATCAATTTGTTTTAATGTATTATTGATAACTGAGTTCTTTCTTTTCTAGTACTTCATAATGAAATTAAACAGAAAAAAAGGTTTAGTGTAAATAAACAATATTACATTTAGTTGTGTTTCAATGATGCTTAAGAGGTCAAATCAATTGAATTGACTCTCAAGCATATTAGTTTATTGTTGTTTCAGAATAACGTTATTTTTTTTTTTGTTAAAGTTTCTCTCGCAGAATAGCGTATCACAAACGCAGATAAAATGTAAGTGTATCGCTTATCAGGTTCTCATTTAGTATCTTTTTCTTCACTGTCTCGCATATTATTTCATTTTTTATTTTTTCCAAATATATATATATATATATATAATATGTATGTATGTATGTATATATATTTTATTATGTGGATATATGTCTCGCGGCTTCGAAAATATCACGCATACCGAAGCTTCATTGATCACCTTAAGCATTAGTCTTTAGTGTTTGATTATACTACAATAATATACAACAATACGATATGCCTACAGAGTCTATTGTTTCTCGTACAACACTAGTATTCTTTTAATTTCAATGTTGTATTATGATTTTGTTATAATAATTAATCCTTCTTTCTTTATTATTTCCTTTCTTTTCATTGCTGTAAATTTATAAACCGAGAAACAATGACACTAACGGCCGACGACCATTTATTATCAATTAATCAATATAATATACAATTATTTTTTTTTTTTAATTATAATCAGCCCAAGTATATTAAAATATAAATATCAAGTAGACTTCAACCCCACTATTTGAGTCAAATTTAAACCACATTAAGTATAAGTTTTGTCACCAATTTTTTGATTATTGGATTGATATTTAATCGTTGTATTTTTATAATATCCAAATTTTTGTATTTGTATTTTTAAAGCAATTACTTTGAAATTAAACAACAATTTTATAATAAATCTTAATTTTACCGTAAAATCTCATTTTTTTTACGATATTATTTTAAACAATTCGACATCAATCCATTAATTAGTATTCCCTCTAAATAAGATCCATAAATGAGATTTCTTAACAAAAAAAGTCTTTGATATTGACAATCTTTTAATTCAACCCTTACTTCAACATTGTTCTGTTGCTATTATTTCAAGTAGTCTATCAGTAAATTACATTGAACAGCTAAAATAAAACTTTGCTTTACGTAACCATAGGTTGTTTCTACTCCAAAAATTGGTAATTTTTTAGAATTATCAATGAAATACTATGTATCAAACTTGAATATTAGTAAAATAATATGAATAAATATAGTAAGGTTCAATGTATTTTGCCATAAAATTCGAATTATATTCACAAGTGTAAACAGAACTTGTTTTAATTACAGTATATGTCAATCCAATTTATAAAATTTAAAATGAGGTGACTCGACG